GAATTGGCTGCATTACTCTGCTCTCCTCCCCACTGATAGCTGATGTGTGGTGAGCGTTCTGGTGCACTATGGCTGCTGTCGCATCATCCAGTTGGGGATGCACACTGGTGGTGGTGGAGGGGAGTCCCCATTACCTGTAAAGCGCTTTGAGTGGAGTGTCCAGAAAAGCGCTATATAAGTATAAGCAATTATTAATTATTATAATTATTATTATTAAATCTTTATCTAACCATAGGTATGATTCTTGCTGTTTTCAAAAAAGCCTCAGCAGATCAGTTGCACAGACTGAACTCAAGACATCAGCAGCTTAACAACCCCAAAGACTCTCCCTTAAGCGTCTGCAAGAAATGCACGCTCTCACAAGAACTAACCCCTCAGGAAACAGACCCACGTTCAGCACCGATCACTGTACACAGCTGAGTCTCCCCAAAAAAACAAAAACTGCCAAAGACTGGGGCCCTTTGAATTTTAACACCAAATGCCATGAACAGTCTTGGAATAGAAAGCCTGCAGGTTATCCACCTCCTGTTACAGCCCCTTGTGGGAGGGAGTCTGCTTCTTTTTGCTCCAACCTAAGTGGTCAATTAAACAATTAAATTAAACAATTAACCTGATTACTTTCCTCATTAGACACATACAAGCTTTTCCTTCAGGTCTGTCATCACCTCTGTATATCAGTTCTTTATAAATCGCCTCCAAGCCTGACTAGACATATGGCAATTAATTAATTAGAACAACTATGTACAATGTAGGTGGAACAAAGACAAGAGGACAGCAGGCCATATTCCTCTCTCTCTGCGGAAATACGCCCATCCCAGCCTCCTGTGCCACATGGGTATGTCTCAGCTCAGGACCGTGTGCCTGCGCGCTCCCAGAATGCCCCGTGACTCACTGGCATAGGGCGAGTTGGCGGCGGAGCCGTTGAGGAAGCTGGGGGAGCCGCCGAGATTGGACATGCCGGTGTTGGCGTAGCCGTTCATGCTGGTGGTGACGGAGCTGTAGTTGGTCTGCTGGGGCGTGGTACTGGGCACGTAACCGTGGGGCGACACACTGCTCGTGTTCCGGCTGAAGCCTGCAGAGGACAGAGAGGGGATAGATAGGTTCAGAGCACTGCTCGAAACCAGTCGTATTTCTGTTTCTCTCTCTTTCGTCACCCATCAGAGCACGAGCCCGTAATGCGGCTGCCATGAGCATCTGAAGAACACATACTGAAAGTCGCAGAGTGCACCTTCGGTGTGTAAATCCTAGTGCATGAAGTCTGAGCCAATGTGTGAGAGGCAAGATGGAGTCTCTTGACTGAAATACATTTCCCACAAAGCTTTGCGGGTCAGATATAATCCACATCTTTCTGGGAAATGTAGTTCTTTCCCCCAGAAAGCCGTGGGAAATGTAGTTGATATAAGAGTATCTCTCAAACAATGGAAATACGCACACAGTGGTTCAGATTAGGATCGGCACAGTTGATGGGTGAATAATGATCTGAATCAGGGAACGCTCCGCTGGCCGAATTTACAGATACTCTACTTAGGTCTATCACTGTCACTGTGATTTAAATGTGCTCCTGTCAAATGGGTAAACTAGGAAAGGTCAGGGCTGGAGGGGAATTCAGATTAAGACAACAGCCTGGCATCAATACACTGTCATTTGTGTTTCAACAGAAGACAAGAACCACACTCCGTCTCTAAGTTCTCCATAAACAAACATTTCTATTGTGTAACTCAGGAGAGGGTACAATTATGCAGCTCTGGTTTCTCGTCAGCCCTGTTAAATTATTCATTTTCAGTTTCGTGGTAGTTTTAGACAGCTAAAATTGTAGCACTCGGTCCAAAAAAAATAATGTGTCCTTGAACATGCAGTGACAATGTCTTTTACAATAGTTGATCTAATCAGATGACTACTACCCTTGTGTGTCACAGAAGGAAATTCAATCACAACTGGCCACTAATCCCAATTGATACATTTGATTGCATTTTATTTTTGCTACTCAGTTAAACTTAAAGAACAAGTCAAGAGTGAATAAGCACTCATTATCACTGCACCTAGCTGGAAGTGGAAACACAGAACTCTACTCCCTGGCTGAGCTTTTCAATCATCTGTGTCTGGCCCTGCAGGAGGTTTAGCAGACCTGAAAGTTGAAGATGAAGCAATAAAGAATCAAGAACACATAGTGAATGAAAGGAATCAGGCCAAGAACACACTCACTTATTACAGGCAAAGGCGCAGATATTACCAGCAGACCCATGGAGCGGTTTTCCATAACTTCTAATATCAATGCACATCCAGGGTACAGAAAGTAGGAGCCAGGTGTTTGCGCAGGCGTTGGAATACATAATAGACAATTTTTCTGTCCGACCCCCCACCCAGCTGAGTTCCTATAACGGCTAGGAGACAATCCGAAGTGCTCATCCTGTATTAAGGTGGACGGCTTGGTAAGGGGCTCATCTCGGGTGGCTCTCTCTGAGCTGGGGATGTGAAGGATTAATTGAACGCCGTCTTAAAAGCACCAGGTGAGAGACTGTGCACCGTCTCGCTGCCCGGCTTCGCAAATGAGGCGGGGGGGGAGGAAGAGACAAAAATAATAATGAAGAAAGCCCACGTTGAAGCCTTGCAAGATGAAAGGACCACTGTGTGTGCTACAAAGCTCTTGAGCTGTCAAACAGTGGGAAATAGCACTGTGCCAATTCGCCATATGCTGTTTTGAGATGAGAAATCAGAAAAGTAGTAAAACAATTATTCAAATGCTTTAAACACTATTGCTCTTCCAGACTGCTTTCTCACAATTTAAAGGGGACAGCACCCCTGTGTTAAGTAGTGAAGATCTTCATGTTTCCAACATATGGCAGGGAAGAAGAAAGACCTGGAACACTGGGATGTATATATGAGCATCAAACGTTGACGGCTGTTGAGTCTCCCAGAATGCTATGCTTCAGGAGGTCCTCCTGGTGGCTACAGACACTCCAGTTATTTCTGCTTCACTCAGCTTTCAGTTTTTTTTTACTATCACTACAGCTGACTTAATATAAATCATTCATTCTAGAAGTGGGACAGATACTGTAGTAAAACAGGCAGGCCCGGTATAGGCTGACAGGCATCGAAGAGACAAGATCCTGTTGAAATCCTCCCTTCCTCTCTTACGTCTCTTGAGTTCACTCCTCATGGCAGAATCCCGAATCAGTTCTTAAACAATTCATGAACTGCCTTGCTTTTACCTCTGTGATGTGATCTTGGAAGCAGTGTGGAAGGGCTCAGTTTAACAAACACTGCAAACACATTTAAATAAACACCACTGTGATTCTTTTGGATTCGGCAGCTGCCTGGGTTTGTCCGGAGCTCCATTATTACTACTGAGGTTCATCTGGATTCCAAAAAAAAGGAGGAGGGAAACGCTATAAAAGTGAAGCAGTTGTTATTATTGCTTTAAATAGCAGGAGCCGCAGAGAGGGAGCAGGGTCTTACCAAACATATTGAGCAAAAGATCTCGGAGAGGAAAAAATAAAACAGACAAATAGATCTTTTTCTCTCTGTGTTAATATATGTAAAAAACAAAAGTCTTCATGTGTTCCCAGGAATCATAAAGTGTAACTGTCAAAATGTATTTGTCCTTGATGTTTTATAAGCTGGAGTCAAGACCGTCAAAGAATCAGTTGCAGTTCTATCTTTGTTTTGGTTTTTTTTGGTTTTTTGGGGGGCCACCAAAAGATTCAAGAGCTGATTTTCTAGTGTGGGCAGACTTACAAGTCATTAACAAACACTGTACAGATTACAGATGTGTGAGCCTGGTAAAATAACAACACCGAAGAATTTGGTGAGTCAGCTGTAGAAACACCAGTCAACCCCTGGATGTGGGAGGGGAGAGGTGGCCAGCAGAGATGGGCTTGACAAAATATTTGAGGGGGGGGGTCACCTGGGGGCACTTGTATGCTCTCCCTGCTTTTAAACGTTTTTCTCCTCCTCATTGTATCAGCTTGTTTCTGCAGGGGTGGGGTAGGAGGTGATCCTTCTCCTATCTATTCGGCTCTCCTGGTGTGGGGGGGGGGTCTTGGGCTGGCTTATTCTTCTTTTTCTGGAGGTGGGGGGGGTTAGGAGGAAATCTGAGAGGCCCACATATTTTGTGGGGAGACACCTACCACCTTGGGGAGACTGGGGTGCATGTGGCGGGGTTCCCAGTGTGCATCCTGTTCCAGGGCACAGCAGTGTTTAAATCGACTGTGCCAGGGCAGCGCAATCTGACGACTGCAGATTCGGCAACCCGCTGGGGCTCTGAGGCCTGGGCAGTCCAAGAGTTCCGGCTGCACGTGATTCCCCCAAGGTGGCGTCACACTTACCCTGGTTGGCGGCCTGCGAGGACTCGGACACGTTGACGGCGAGCTGTCCGGTGAAGGAGTTGACGCCCATCATGCCGGCGTGGACAGACGTGTTGCCCAGGCCGGGCAGCTGGTTGTGGTTCCGGGGCACGTTGTACAAGGCCTCTGCGATGTCTGCTGCCCGCTTCAAGATGATCTCCTGTAGCGAGACAGGGCGGTACAGACCAGTCGCGCCAGCTGCTGGCCCCGGAGGGCCACGGGCCTGACAGAAACGCCAGATTCGCTGGGGTAATAAGTTCTGGGAGGAATGAACACCAGGGGGCCCTGTGGCCCTTGGGGGCCAGGGGTGAGGAACACCAGCCCTGAGGAGTTCCAGACAGCCCTGGGACCTGACAAAGCGCCTGGACTTTCACACTTTCACACTGACATGTTGGGCAGCTCATGTTAAGAATACTGCTTAATGACTCCATGTACTGGAGATGAAAGAGTGAGGTGTCAGCAAGTGCTGCTCTCTGGTTCCCACCGGTCAGCTCGCTGCCCCTTTGCCAGTGTTTTCCCTGGCAATGTCCGACAGCTGTAGGACCTATACCTACTACCTTCACTGCAACAACCAGGAAACTGGGAGCACAGATCCCCCCAACAGAACACTGAACACTCTGGCGCAAGATAACGAAAAGAAGAAGAGTTTTCTGTGTGGTGAGTGCTTCACAGATAATGCTAGTGACGGTTATTTCTGTTTGTACATACATATTATTTCCACTCACACGTGCACCCTTCCTTAAAACAAAAGGAGAAAGATATCACTGCAGAGGAAATTGTGGTAAAACACTGCAGATGGAAGCGGACAGAGCTGAGCTCGATCTGCTTTTAAAGCTTAAATTATTCATGGGTTCCGCATCTCTCGGCCATTATTGGCCCAGAAAAGACTTGCAGTCACTCTCAATAATGATCCACCGCTGAGAACTGGTTTGGCTGAATTTCTCCTCTTATTCGCCCCCTGACAGGGGAATGTCGCAGGCTCACCTGATTGTTGTGGGGCATGCCGTACAGCGCCTCAACCAGATCTGCGGCTCTTTTCAGAATCACTTCCTGGAGGCAGAAGGCAGAGACAGAGAACTCTATGAGGGAGGTTCGTTCTGTGACAGAAGCCCATTCTAATCTCATCGGTTCAGCTCCCAGAAACGGATGGGGCTCTTAGAAAAGCACATCGATTCAATTTCTTTGAAAGTTTACTCCCTGACCTTTCCAACTTCAAGAAGACTTCAAAGCAAAAAAACAAAACAAAACGGCGTGCGCATCTTTTGAATTTCTTTGAACGGCACAGATGAAGACAGGAATCCAAATTCATTTTTTTTTAACAAGAAGTCTTTTTTTTCTGCTGCAGCAAATGAACTGATCCTGATTTCAATGTGCCAAAAACCTTTGCATTACATTGAAAGTGAAAGTTAAAGAGTATCATACATTGCGCTGTTTGCAGAATTATCCCCCACAAGTAGTGTTTTCAGAAGTAGTGACATGAATTTGTACAATTACATTTTTTGGCTAATGACAATAAGCACAGCCATTAGCTGCAAGACATTGTTTTGAGGCCAGCACAGTAATGACAATATGAAGAGACTATAATAAACTGAAATGCCCAAAGTGAAATGAGTACAAGAACAATTTTGCTTTCACATTCTTTTTCTCATTTACGAGGAAATAAAAGGGGGACTATTCAAGCAATAAAAACATTAAAAGTAACTTCACTAAAGTACTAACACTTTGCCATACTCTACAAGCTAATTGTTGTACAAGAGGGAACATAGCTGTTATCTTCAATTTTCACCTGGTTCCAAGTGGGAAAATAAGAACATAATTGCATTCATTTGGCTGTCATAACTTCTTCTCGGAAATATCTTTTTAAAAACATATTTTTGACTGGCAAGCTTTTAGTTTTTAGTTTTCCAATGCATGTTATAGATCCCTGTGTCTGAATATAAGACAATGTCAGAGAAAACATCCACCTATCCGTTATCGGAAAGCCTACAGCCTGTCCATAAGTCGCAGGGCAGGACTATACCTGCACACACAACCCGACAATCTCCAGGTCACCTATCCAGCATGTCTTTCGAAGGTAAGAGGTAAATGGAGCACCAGCAGAGAACCCACACAAACAAGAGAACATGCAAACTCCACACAGCTGGGTGGTAGCAATGCTACACCACTGAGCTGTACCAATAATAATTAAGATTGTGCATTTATCCTATAGATATCTCTAGATAGGTACAGAAGATTTTTTTGGCTAATTACTATAGGACCTTGTTGAAAGTAACAAAGGTATATCTACAATCTATCAACAGGATTGCAGCATTAACATTTATCTTTTATTGTTTAATATGGTACTGGAGCAATAAAAGCAGATGCCTTCAGGGCATTGAAAAGGCAACAGCCAGACATTCACACACTGTACTTTTTTCTTTAATCATTCCCCTGACTACAGTTATTTGTTTCTCCATTATGGCCGTACAGCAACTCGTACAATGTACTCCCAGTCTCTCTCAAGGATTGAGCAAGCCAGCGCAGCCCTGCTTGATCGTGGTGTGAGATAGTCCAAGTGACGGCAGGTCTAGGATGATTGGAACAGCATGCAGTTTAAATAATACATGAGACTCCTCAGCTAGCACCCTGCACTTCCCCGGCACTTTCCTTTTCAGTGTTCTGGAAAGGCATGTGTATATATAGATATATCAGTGCTATATACAGTACGAATGGGTGCTTTATGCACACATGCAATCATGTAATGCTTAACTGCAATAGAAATCAATTGTTGCATGCACCACCTAAAACGCCCCATTCTGCATTTCAAAAAGTTAATTTTAGAGGCCCTTCCAGTGCTACAGTCCCACATATGAATCACTTGCTGGTTTTTCAGGGCTGGTGCACGAAATTAAGCAGAATTAGCAACCATTCCACCCCACGAGGCAGACGTTTTTTGCACAAGGACATATGCATGTGCCTTTTAAGCAAGGGGGGCTGGTAAAGGAGAGCGAGAATCAGGAGACACAGAGCACACAGGATTATTCATTCACTTTTTTCCTTCTCTGTTTCTTTTTTGCAACCAGACATCCTGAACCTATAAAGCCCTTTTTAAAAGTTAATGTGCTGGGTCCGGGAAATGTGCTCGCAGTGCGACAACCAGAAAATTGCTCTCACCTCCTTGTTGTAACCCTCGCTGTGAACAAGCCCTGAAGCATGCGTGTGCGTTCAGCAGCGAACATATTGCCTTTCAATCAGCCCTGAGACCCACTGAACACACAGACAGAACATGACGAGGAGGTCAGAAAACCAATAAAGATTTTAGTGCGCTGTCCAAGGTGCTAAATTCACTCAATAATGGGAATGCTGCCACTATGTTAACCTCTCATTACTTGCGTTTTTTTTTTTCCGAGGTGGAGAAATCAAGCATTCGAAATAGTACCAACTTCATTTAACCTAAAGTGTGCGCTCGTGGTGAGGCGCGGGGTTCGGAGAGAGTAAGTGGTTTTTCTGTATGGATGAGTGGCTCCCCTGCCTTCCTGGGATCTACATTTCCTGAGTGTGTCTTCTCCGGAAGGCCCCCCATCAGAGACAAATTACCGGGAAGAGCCCATGTTTCACAGATACATTAGCCCCCAGCCTGAGCCCTAGAACTAACAAGCGTGACTTTCTCTCCTCTTTCTATACAGGACTCGTCCTATATTTGACAAAACCTGCTTGCTGCTATAAATCAGATTCAAATTTGTCAGAGGCTGGTTACATTGACACACCTCACCTAGCGATCCCTGACACTCCTGACTAATAATATCAATATTAGCAGTAACTGCCTTTACCTCCGTTTAAGCAGTTTCCTCCTGTTCGCACTGTGGGGCTGACAGATTCTAACTGTGAAGCAGAACTCAGACACGCACAGGGAGGGCCTCTGTAAAAGATCTTTGGCAGAGGAAATCCAGCAAAACTCAAGCCCAAAGAAGCCACACATTTTCTGGGCAGTGGCTTTTGTAATTCAGGTAGGAAATGACACACTGCTGCAACACAGGCACGCAATTACATCAGAATTACATAGTAACAACCAACACATTCTTGCCTTCTAATCGCATAACCTAATAAATACGCAATGTCAAGGCCTGTTCAACAGGAAACACAATTTTAATTAAATAAGAATAAGGAGTTGTCCAGAAATTACAACATAACCCCATAGTTAATCACGCCTGCAATACAAATTTGAGCCAGATGCCTTATTGTCAGCAATAATTGAGTTTTTTTTTTTGCCAACAATTTCTCATTAATACAAACTATTTTTCCTATCGTTAGCTTTCACTCAGGGATTCAAAATACTGGCTAATCACATTTGTTTTAAACGTATTAAACGGTCTTTCAAGGGGCCACACTGATTATCTTCTAAATCAACAAAGGTGAGGGTCGGGGGTGGGGATACTGACGATAATGCTGACAACTGACGGATGTTTCACATGACAGCAGAGGCACAGGGTTCAGACAAACACCCCCAGCTTACAGTCACCATGATACATTTCTGAATGTGTCAAGCCAACCAAAGGCAAATCACACCTTCATCATTTTCTAAGCGTGGCTACACTGTTCAGGACAGACTGCACTAGATGGGTAAGGCCTTAGTATATTGTGCCAGCTCTCTAGAGCATTCAGACTCCTGCATTTTCTCTGAAGGGTCTGGCAGTCTCCACTGTACAACACGCTCCAGTCTTTTCAGGCTTGGCTATTACTATGTGAATTATGAGAGCCGGTAATATGATATATATTCATTAGGGAAGGAGATGCTGAGAAAATATAATGTTTAGGTCACATCTGGATGAAAAGGCAACAAGCGAGGCACATTTACAAGGAAGCCAGGCTAGTAAAAACATGACAAATTTATCTCCGTGCTTGTTCATTTGCAATTTTATCATCTCCTAATGTTCTATTAGAGCCGTAATACAAGAGGGGTCAGAATCATTCATCTTACGGGAAGACAAAAATGATGATGTCATACTTCCTGCGCTGCCACCCTGACCCTTGGACTCCATCTATCGCCTGCTCTGATTTCATTAGCGCGGATAGTGCTGCCTCCGCACAAGTCGGCTCTCCGGACTGGCCGGTGCGCGCCTGCGTGCGCGGAGATCTCGGGGGCTACGCTCCCGTCAGAGTCGCTGAGCTAAACCGTTTCTCAGAAGGGTGTGCGCGTCGGATTCGGACATGTTTTCAGAACATCCGCTGCCTGACGGTATTTTCAGGGTTCCAGACGTGCGCCGGCTCTTTGATCCGAAAGTTGCAGTTTTTCGTCACGCCCTCCCCCCTCACAAACTGTGCTTTTCTTGGATGGGATCTTAGGGCTGGGTAGAGGAAACTTGCTGGTGTGTTAAATGGGCAAAGCTCTTTATATGTAATGGTAGCATAATCTGCCTTCATCGGTAACCCTTTGCAAGCGGTAGTTCATGTTTAATTCATGGCGAACAGGGGAAGTCATATGAATAGCCCACAAGTACATCGTGACTTCAGATTCATTTCCCGTTAACTCCAGAGGAAACGATGCATTACTTCAAATGTAATTATATTACAAACACAGACACACTGTGAAGCTTTTTCCCTTTATCATCTATGCAGGTTCACTGGAGGGAGATTACAAAAACAGTACTTTGCATTCTATAGGCTCCTTCTAGGTTTTTTTATGCAAAAATGCTTTCAGGGAAAACATTTTTTTTTACCATTTTTTTTTGTAGGCCTGTGCCCTTGGACACCAATTTCTTTTAGTTCTTGATTTGTTTCATGACAAACAGGATCTCCCCTAATTCAGAGATTTAGAAAACAGACCTCATAGGGGGCTTGTAGTTTCACTGCGCTTGCAGACAAATCCGTGCCACAAAAGCAAAAGAAAAAACAGCCGACTGCAACTTTTTCAATTGGACATTTTGGTTATGTAGTGTGAGGCAATCAGACACTATCAAAGGAGGTACTTTGTATGCGTGACAATGAAGCTCTGTTTTCTGCATGTGCAGAGTCAAATCCATTATTAAGATTTTAAAAGCCAACGCTGACGTCACAGGCCTACTGCTCTGCTT